CCTTGGTAAATCTTGGCATTCACTTACAGGAGTATTAGAGATCCAGAGAGGTGGAAGTAATTATAACATTAAGTCTTACGCATTATTAGTTTGTATATATACAATTTACAAATATTTATTAATTTACTTTTGTATACACCATAAGAGGCTCGTTTCTGCTGATAAGATCGACACTGCGAAAACGAATAAACCGCTGACTGACTGAATGACTGGTATTACTTGGCATATAACACTATCGTAATCGCCAGTGATCTATTAAATAAATCTGCTCTCTTCTTTTCACTCACTCATTAAAAGTAAGACTACTTTCTTTTCTAAAGCTCCCTTCAAATTTTGGCGTAACTCTCATGTTACACGAATGAAATTAGCAGAATGAAAAAAATTCTTCATTCACTTTGCTATCGGCCTTGTACGAAAAATAGCCATTTACAAGAATATATAAAGAAATGTGCAGAAATTTCTTAAACGACAAAAGACGCCTCTGTGAAAATTTTAATACCTGTTTTTCCACTTCCTTGAAATTCTCAGATTTGATGGGCGGACTGAGAATAAGGTTAAGCTCCTGCTCTAAAAATAATATTGCCGTGTGGCTACAACCATAGGCTTTTCCGATATACTGAAAAGAGAAAACAGTACAAGGAAAAGGCAAAAACGAAACGGCAGTTGATCCACACCTGTAAAAGACGTGGTTGGAGGGCGATTTGCGGACTGCACTCCTTGAAAATTTTAAGAAATGTTTTTGGAGCATTTATCTTTCGGTTTCGCTGTACGAGGTTGGTGCCTGAACTAATGAAAGGGGCAGCCACACGATGGATGCACTAAAATGAAAACAAACTGGAGAAACTGATGTTCAAATAAGTTACTACCTCTTGCTGCTCCGAATTGAAGCTCGACCACAAAGAAACAAAACTGTCAATGAAGACTCTTTCGGCAACGGCGTCGTGCTGATGACACAGGTAAATAATGTGTGGCAGCAAATCGCGTAGCTAAACACCATATCCAGTTATCGAAAATCGACAAACGGTACTGGAGCCATTTTACAGATGAACAAACAACACAAATCAGTTTACAACCAGCCTGGACATGATTGATAAGCAACAACTACAAAAGCAACTTGTTTGCATTCGCTCAGACAGAGAACGATATACCAAAGCCATGGCCATCGATTGCAATGGATTAGACAACAGGACGAATTACGGCAAAATATATCTTCACTAAACCTCAAAGTTGCAAAGAAGATTCAGTCTTAAACCTCAAAGTTTAAATCAAAACCTCAAAGGCTAGCAAGTAACGGCTGCCAACAAATCTAGCAGCATCAACGTAATGTAAGCATGTTAAAAATAATCATATATAACACGGCTATAACATACATATTCTCAGCTGCTACTGTATCTTCGAAGTCCTGCCAGAAAGATATTGAACAATTAGTTAAAGATAACGAATAACGCCACGATAACCAAAATTGACATTAACTCTAACATCTATTCCTTTCTGGGTACAGGTAATGTCAGTACATTAATAAGATAAACAAATAAACTAATGGAACGATACATGATGTATGATATCAAAAGACTGGAAGATTACAATAACCACCGTGATATGGATGGTCAACATCACAAAAATTCGTCCTAATCTTGCTCTACTGGCTTGAACATAATATCGCCATCCATTCAATGGAGACAAAATTCTTAACGGAACTACGGAAAAAGAATAATTATGAATAGGTAAAGAGTAAAGCAATACCGTGACTGATGATGCCATCTCCAAAAATTCCTGTTCTTTTGTCCAAATTGTTTGCAGTTCGTTCAGATTTTCAGGCGGGACGCCGGAATCATTGACGTCGCACATTTCCATGAAGTCCTAAGCAATGTAAAAACATGAAAGAAATTAACGAGAAGCCTTATGAATTTCATTTTAGCTCACAGTGTAATAACTGTCTTCCATGACACTCGGTTTCATAAACTCAGCCATACCATCATTTGAACACAGTAGCAACGGCAGATACTGCATATCTATATAGGCGCAGGGCGATTTTTCTTCAACGCAAAAAAGTAAGAGCTAAAAAATACGACCGTACATAATCAAACAAAGAACAGAGGAACTTACCTCTACGCATTGTTTAATCCAGTAATGATGATACAGAGGCTCCCAGTTTACGCTGGACATTATGTAAACCAGACGATCGTAAGCGTTAGGCGCCAATATCAGGTTAACAATCTAAGCAAAGCGGGTTAAATACAGACATCGATAACATCTCATAAACAACTACAAACAACGACATATATAAGAAACAGGACTTGTACATGTTTCCAGCATGAATACCATATATATGTGAATCTCGGTGTTAAACAAATTATAAAGTGACTTTCTTGCGCTTAGAAAATTTTAGCTATGTTCCATCTACAAAATTCTACAATACAGAAATTCTAACAAGGCGTGACTATAAGCAGATGAAATTTAACGTTTCCTTGAGGGAATGGGGGCAGTTTTGTAGGCTATGGCTTCAAGATATTTGAGCACCTGCAGAGCCAGACGAAAATCGCATTATTTTTTTCGCTCGAGCCATCTTGCTCTCATTACAATCGATGTTTCAGGAGCGGGTAATTTTCATAAGGATTCGCATAAACATTAAAATATGGTTTACGCAAGAATATGTAAAATAAAGTATTATAGCTACATGAATAGATCAAGTTTATAAAGAGTACCAGCTCTTAAAATATTGTTTGTAATGATGCTAGACGCATCTGAAACTGCTAATGCTCAAAAGCTATGAAGCAACGCCAGGCAAATACGAGCAAGGGGTGGTGCAATTTCGCGTGCAACCTGGCTTTGGAGGAGTTATGTATTACTTGATATAGACTAAGAAAGTATTTTGTTAGTACGTTAGTGTTCATACTGAAAACTAAAAAATAGGGCTTGATAAGGCTTGTCTAAAGTATCTGAACACTGCGCGGATTGACCATGCTTTATCAAGCGCATGATCCAAAAAACTGCTTAAATAGCAGCATTAGCTAAAATGCACGGCAAGATGCACAACAGCTGCGGACCATACAACCAAATGCAGAAACTAACTCGGACCAGCTTGAAGAACGCTCATGAGAGACGAGTAGAAACTTCGGTATAGGTCACTTCTCCAACTGACCAATTTACCAATTTATTAGTTAGCGTAGTGTATAATTAAACAGTTTTTATGCATTTTTAGTTTTCTATATGACATATTATGGAGACTTTCAAAGATAGGTGTTAAGCTCTAACTCATGAAAAAAACAGCGCTAAATCTTATGCACACAGAGAATGGAGCCTTCTAGAAAAAGGATTGTCATCAAGTACTACGTTCCTCACCCAAAAAGTCTCTGGAAGTAGTTTCGTTATATTTTTCCACTGCAACATCAAAATATGGCTTCTTGTATAAGAGTAATGGCGAGAAAAGTACGTTAGAGCAAGGCATGTTGTACGAATCAATTCTGAGTTATACGGATACTCTGGCATACCAATCTATATCCTTGATAATACAACATGTACACCAAAAAATATGCAGCATAGGATATTCACAAATGAACTCCTAGAATTAACACGGTAGGGGCCATACACAACAGATATACTTTGTATATCTTACTGTGTTTGACATTTTCATTCGTTATTTCTACTGACATACCGCTGCGATCGTAAAGAACTCTTTAATTTGGCTTCTAGCAGTTTCTTAAGCGGGGCTAATTTTAAAGTATAACACATTTTATGCAGGAATATTATACCTTACGAGAATTCAAATGGGACAAAGCTAGCTTCGCTGCTATCCTATCATCTTCAGCTCGTAGGTGCCACCCAATCTGTTTATGAAGATTGTCGCTTAACGGCAGTTTGGCTTTTGCTGTTCGTCCGTGAATCTTGCATAATCTTTTCTGGCTTCTATACAATCAACAATGAAAAGAAAATCTGTAGCGTTCATTTCACTGTCACGATGAGGCCATTTCTGGGGCCCATCATTTGATCAAGTTGAATATGGAGCGCTGATCTCATTTTCCACATTTTCAACTGCAGCTAAATGGAAAGAAGTACGCGCAGCCTCCTGTTTCGTTTCCATGAAGTGGCAGTCATTAACAACATCGGAAAGAAGAAAACGAGTTACTCTGCAGGCTCTTGAATGTGAGACCTGTCTTCCCTGAGTCCGGAATTTTACAGATGTTTGAAGATACGTTACTCATGCTCGCTTTATCGACGAAAAACTGCATCTGTATTGGCATAATCAAAAATAGAGAACACCACGGTAGGTCAGATGAAAATAAATATTCCATATTTGGCTTGTTTCATGCAAACACAGAAGGACAATTTGCTCTAAACCTAAACTTTACAGCGTAAGATGTTTCTCCTAGTCTTCAAGGAGGCAATTTAAACAGCTAAAGTCTTCATAATATTGAAGTTCCATCACTGCGCAACACATTTCTCACCATTTAATTGGCCGAATAAAGGTTTCAAACCAGGTTTTGAAGAGCTGTTCGTTCATTAGCAAGATTCTGGTATAAGAACTAACGCTCAAGGTATTCGATAAAAGTGCAAAAAGAGATCGGTTAATAAAATGTTACTGCGTTGATGACAAGAAAATTTAACGATACAAACTGTATTCATATGATATGACGCAGCGTGGTGCTTATCCTAAATCGGTTTCAGCATTTAGGACCAGTTGCAGATGCAATATGTCGTAAAATTTGGTTTGGGAAAGTTAAGCGCATAGTGCAATTTTAGGCACACGAAAATATAATTTACAAAACAATGCTACAGCAAAGTGAGACAATCACGCGAGTCCGCGGATACGATGCTTATTTAATTAATGTGAATCACAAAGAAAACTGAAGCAGTAAATGACTGTCAAAAACTGAAAATCAAAGGAGGCATTCTGCTGCAAAGAAAACGAGTCCGACGTGCATCAGTGCGTTTATGGAGTGGTGGTAGAGGGAGGTGGGAAAATAGTTTGTTTTGCGTTTTAGATGCGAAGGGTCCAAATTCCATGCACAATAGGAAAATTTCTTATTAATAGCCTATTTCGCTGATCGATGAATTCCTCAAACTCTACTTCTATCCAACCTGGCGAGTGAGTAACGAGTCGAGTCATTCACCTGAAAATAACCAGAGTGTCCAAGTGTAGTCATGGTAGACTGTGTGAGAATACGGTTTATCGACCAGTTTTCCACATGGTTGCAATGAATCATGACCAGTACGGAAACTGACTGTAAAGCATCACGAGATATAATCAGCGAATAAAAATGGACGTAACAGAACAATCGAAAACCAAATCTTTAAAATCACCTCATAATAACGCTGCCGCACATCTTCAGACGACGACGCAAGGCCAATCAGAAAGGCGCCTTCGAGCTGCGAAGTAAATTCGCCCTTGCGCATCGGATCGTTTCTGAAAAAATGTGCAATGAGGAAAATTTGTTTTTACGTGTATTGTACTTAATTAACGTTAAAATGAAGCACAGTGATTCGAAACGTATACAAGTTTTAAAATTAGATGTTGTAAATTAAGAAACATGCATGCGACTGTACCTAAAGTACCGTACGACACAGTAAATAATACAGTTACGTAATACTAGCAGCAGTTGCAGTATATAAAAACTACATACTTGAAAACCAGGTAAATGAGTTCAGAAAAGGCGACCCTGATTTCGGTTTCGCCGAAAAATCTAGTCTCGAAGCAGCGCATCAGTTTCATCAAAATACCTTGCAGCTCTTTCTGGGCAGCATACTCCTGATTGGCTGAACTTTGCTGAAACGAATCGACCAAATTAATGGACAAAGGGCAGCAGCGGTAACGCCAACGAATACGATCTCCAACTTACCACCGCTTTCATCCATGATTCGACTAGTTTAATGATGACGCCAATGACGCGACCGTTCATCGACTTCTCGATCAACGGAGACAGGACACTGTTGATTAGTTGCTTACGGATTTCCGGATTGAACGACTCCATCGCCGGTTTTGCGAGGTCCAAAAACCACACCAGCATATCGGCACTTACTAACAAGGAAACATGCGATATAAACTCCAAATTT